TATGACCAACAGCTTCAGCTGCAACAATGTGTAAACCAGGAGCTTAAGACAAGTAGCTGGTGCAGGCAGGGTGGCACCAAGAAACAGTTCAGCTCCTTCTTGGAGGTCTGCAGAAGTCTCAGCAGTTTGCAGCCTCTTTTCCCTTTCTTCAACCCGCTGAACTGCAGGATCAGACTGACCCTAGAGATGTGTGTTCTTGTAAGAGAGCAGCAGCCAGTTCTCTTGTGTTCTTGCAGACGCTTCATTTGGATGCAGTTGAAGATGCTCACTCAAGGTTTCAGGCCCTGACCACGGCCATAAACAGAAGCAATGCTCCCTACCTCTTACGGCTGGCAAACCGGCTCTTTGGAGAGAAGTCCTACAGCTTTTTGCCGGTATGCTGGGGCAGGTCCTGCTGCTGTGGTGGAGCCTGCTGGGGACATGGAGCTCTCGCAGTGTTTATGAAGCAGCAGTGTTTCTAGGCATGTCTGTCGGAATCCACTTCTTAGGATGCAACTGGCTCTGTCTGTTGCAACCAGCTTTTTCAGATTTGCACTGCTTTAGTACCACATTACTTAGATATGTTTTAAAACATTGCATGTGTTTGGGAAGGGATGTCTAACATGTCTATAGAACCTGTCTCTTCACCAATGAATTATGTTTTTGTGTGTACCTAGGTTGCTGTGGTTCTTTTTCCTCTTTCAGAGAGTTTTATTTTATCCTGGCTGTGCAGGAGCCTGTTTCAGGAGAATGACACGTAAATATGGCAACACCTGCAGTGAGCACCCATCAGCTGTACACTTGGCAGATGTACGATGAGGCTTACTCTGAGAGAGAGAAAAAACCACCAACCTTCATCCCCAGAAACCCCCCAGGCAGTGCCCTGTTAGAGCCTCCCCTCAGAGAGGGTGATCATCTGTTTGACATGCCCCTTATCTACAGCTTAAAGAGATGTTTCCTTATCTGCATGCAATGGAAGTCATTCTTATTGTTCCAAAATCTAGGATTTCCTGGCTAATACTCAGAAATTTTATGGAGCGGATCTGGCTACAGTCGATTTTCTTCAGGCCTGTGATGAAGCCAGGAAAGAAATTAACCAGTGGGTAGAGGAGAAAACGGAAGGTAAAGTATTTTGGTTAAAGAAGTAACTGTTAGTGGTTCATACTTTGGGAGCAGGAAGAGGCTTTATTTTTTTCAGAAATTTTATGGAGCGGATCTGGCTACAGTCGATTTTCTTCAGGCCTGTGATGAAGCCAGGAAAGAAATTAACCAGTGGGTAGAGGAGAAAACGGAAGGTAATTTATTTTGGTTAAAGAAGTAACTGTTAGTGGTTCATACTTTGGGAGCAGGAAGAGGCTTTATTTTTTGCCACCTTTGGAACAGTTGGATTTTGCCCTGGGATATTCAGTTGGTGCATTGACAGAAGCAGAAAATACCGAAGCAAGACATTTCTACAGTTCCATGAGTGCTGAGACTTTTCCATTTGCTGTGTTCCAGCTGATGAGCACAAGAGAGATGCCTACACATAGATTTATACTCAAGAGTTGGAGAATTTGTTTTGGACAGTCCTGGTCCATACTGTGTACATATACATTTCTATATCCAGTAATTCTAAATGTGTTTTCTAGTTCTTTTATGATGGAGTATGGTATGACAGTTGAAGCTAGGAAGACTGTATTTTTATCAAATTACAGTATATGAAACGTGTAGTAGTGTGTACAATAGCAAAGTCTGGTGAAGAGGGACAGTAACACAGGTCATTGCAGGGACAGTCCAGCATTGTATATTTGTAGTATTTCTATGGCATCAGTTTCTTCATGTATGTTTTACCTGCCATCGACTTGCTACAAGAGTTGTTTGTGACTTTCCTTTTCTGCCCCCTCTGAAGGCAAAATCCCCAGTGTGCTGCCTGAAGGCTCAGTTGACAGCAGGACCAGGCTGGTGCTGGTGAATGCTATTTATTTCAAAGGGAACTGGGCAGAGAAATTCCGAGAAGCCAGAACTACTGACATGCCATTTCGGTTAAATAAGGTAATACAGCTACGTCTTGGTGGTATCTATCTAGTGAGGAGGTGAAAGAATGTAAGTTCTGAAGTGAAGCTTTGCTTACAGATACATTAATAATAATAACAACAGCAACAGCATCTAGAAAGTCTTGCATGAATGTTTTCATTTTTTTCCCAAAGGTTTTTTATTTATTTTAGCATGTTTCTGTACCCAGGAAGCTATTTGCTCTCTCTCTCTTAGGGTCACTTCTCACTTAGAGATGAGGATCCTGCCTGTGCCTAGCAGATTTTCTGCCTGCTGTCAGTTTCAGCTGCTATAAACTGTGCCTGTTTGTGATGCTGGGCAAACAGGATGAAAATGATTGCATGTTGTGGTTAAGCCACATATTTTGTTCTATATTCTCTTAACAGCTTTATTTTTTTTTTTCAGGTTTTGTTATTTTATTTTTTTTGGGGTGTGTGTGCTGTAGAAGCCAAATGAGAATGAAATACTATTATACAAACTCATTCTGTCTTCAGAAGGAACTGTATCAAACAGGCAGTCAGGAGTCTGACCAAGACAGTTTTATAATCACCTGATAGACTGGAGGAAGAGTTTTTGCAATAATGCAACTTTGAACTTAGCTGTTTCTTATCAGTTCTTTAAATTAGTATTTTCTCAACTGTTGCTTTTGGTACCTTTTATCCCTCCAGAATGAAAGGAAGACAGTCAAAATGATGTACCAGAAAAATGAATTTCCTTTTGGGTATTTCCCTGACAAGAAGCTCCGTGTTCTAGAGCTGCCTTATGATGGAAAAGAACTTAGTATGATCATCCTGTTACCTGATGACATTGAAGATGACTCCACTGGCCTGCAGCAGGTGACCTATCAAGCTAATGCAGTCATTTACTGGATTCATTTCTTGAATGGCCGTTCAGAATTAAAGCCTTCATGTATCCCTGTTCTCAGAGCCCCTTATCTATCAATATATTCCTAGACAGGGCTCTTTGAGCACTGCAATAAAGAGCATGTGCCTGTGCTGCACCAGGAAGAGGTGTTCTGGTTTTACAGCTTGAGTGCCTGTGTCCTTTTGCTTGCTGAACCCAACCATGAGGGAGACTTTGAAAACAAAGTGAACTGTGAGAATTAACTTGCCTTCCTTAAGTTTTTCAATGATAGAAATTCCGTTTCATTAACTTTGAAAGCCTTTAATTTCTTAGCCTTAAAGTAGTGAGAGTGTTTTCCATTAAATGACCAGGAACGCATTGGTTCTTTGAGCTCTCTGATTATTGTTTTTGTTACTAGTTTCTAATTATGTAATTTCATTTAGTTAGATTGAACACAGTAAGAAACTGGGTTCAGTTGCTATCATTGCGTGTTTTTCCCTCGTGTATGTTGCAGCAAGAAGCAAATATCTGCATTACTTTGTCAAGTAAAACTGCACTGACTTCATTTCAGTAGCATTTGTTTGATCTACATGGAGCTGTGAAATATGAGTGTGGTCATTTTTGCACAGTTGCTTTTTAGCTGTACAGTTCTCTAGAAAGCCTTGTAAATGTTCCTGAAAATGAAGTATTTCTACACTGGTGATATGTAATGATGTGTGTCTTTCTAATTCTAGCTGGAGAAGCAGCTTACCTTAGAGAAGCTCCAGGAATGGACACGTCCAGAGAATCTCTATTCTGATGATGTTTGTGTGCATTTGCCAAAGTTTAAGCTAGAAGAAAGCTATGACCTTCAATCAGACTTGCGTGCTCTGGGCTTGTTGGATGTATTTGACAGTGGCAAGGCTGACTTGTCTGGAATGTCAGGGGCACGTGACCTTTTTGTCTCTAAAGTTGTCCACAAAGCTTTTATAGAAGTGAATGAGGAAGGCACAGAAGCTGCAGCTGCTACTGCTGTCCGTTTTCAGTATTGCTGTGGTCGTATGAATCAGCCCTATTTCAAAGCTGACCATCCTTTCCTTTTCTTTATTCGCCACAACCCCACTCGGAGCATTCTCTTCCTTGGCAGATATGCTTCTCCATAGAAGAGAACCTGGGAATTGCAGCCCAGTTCTTGATGTAGTTAAAAACTTGGCATTAGTTGGATTTGGATGTACCAAGTTAATGCTTCTGTCTTGAATTCCTAGCAACTTTGACTGAGATTCCACCTTGCCCAGTAAAATGGCCACAGAGAAACTGAGGAATGATTTTAACCAGGAATCACAGAATCTTAGGTGTTGGAAGGGACCTCGCAAGATCATCTAGTCCAACCCCCCTGCCAGAGCAGGGTCACCCAGAGCACATCACACAGGAACGTGTTCAGGAGGGGTTTGAATGTCTCCAGTGAGGGAGATTCCACAACCTCTCTGGGCAGCCTGTCCCAGGGCTCTGTCACTCTCACAGGAAAGAGGTTCTTCCTGATATTCACATGGAACCTCCTCTGCTCCCGTTTGCATCCATTGCCCTTTGTCCTCTCACTGGTCATCACTGAAAATATATTTTTCTTTCTTGAGATTGACATAATCTTTAATAACTAGAAAAATCTGAACTGTAGGTGGAAAAAAAGCTTTTGAAATTGGACTAGAAATAGAAATACCCTTTGAAGAAGCTTCTTCCCTTCAAAGCACAGGATCACCACATATGCATCCTTGCATGGGTTTCTCTGTATTGACAGCACCCAGTTGTGGTAATTTATAAGAAGGTAGTCATTCCTTATGTATGTATATTCGGATGTTTCTGCAAAGCTATTCTGCCCCTTAAGTCTTGCTTTTCTAAGATATCTAAATAAAATGCTTCTAGGCAACAAAAGGCATGTTCCTGATCAGCTGAGTGTACACAGTTCTGTTGTGAAACAGAAGGTCAGAAAACATTTGTTTAGAAACACCTATTAATAGAGAAAGGATAAAGCTACTTAAAGAAAAGTAACCCCTTGCAGTAATTAGCCAGAAACTGTGCAGAACAGCTTTTGAATGAGGAGGAGAAGAAATGAATAATGATTTTAGGTGATATGCTTAGAGGGTGTTTTTAAAATGTGTAGTCTGCTCCATTTTAGATACTGAAAATGTGTCAGGACTTAGAGGTTTTAGGTGCTTGCAGCTAATGGGTGCCTTTCTGTACCCAGACTGCAGCTTTCAGTGTGATCCTAGATTCTGGCCAGAACCTGTGTGATCTTCCAAAGATATTACAGCTTCCCAGAGGATGACTGAATATCCTGCAATAAAATCTGATGTCTCTTCCCTTGCAAGGATTCAGTGTTTTCCAAGCTGACTTCCACTGCCTCTTTATACACAAGCCTTATGCCTGTAGAACAGCCTTATTCCTGGGAGCCACTGTAATTACATACTGTTAGTCTTCTGTGTTCATTTCTGGAGCTTATTTCCTTGTATCATGCAGATCTTGGGTACTGTAACATTTTACCACCTCAGTTCTAAGTGGGGCACAATACTTTCTGTAATTGCCAGCTGTATATTTACTTTAAGCAACAAATAAAAGCCTTTCCTTAAAATGGTGTTTGAAATGGAAATTTCTGCAAACAATGTAGTATTTCAGAGCACAAAACCAATTGTTTACTTGAAGGCTACCTCCAAAGAAAACCATTGGTGCAGCAGGTGTGATCAGCTGTATGAAGTCCTGGGCCTGTTCCAAGTGAAAATACTGAAACATAAGTTGCTCAGTCCAAGAGATGATCATGTGAACTATCAGCTTCCCCTGGAAGTGTAAGGACCCCAGGTGCTCGCATGTCTAGAGACCAGGGAAAGAAGAGCTGCTGCTGCTGCCATAAATGGGTTTTGACTAAGGAAGGCTCAAAAACTTCATTGTAATTACATCCTTATCTTTATACACTTAAACTCAGTCAGTGCATGCAAGATATGTGATATGCCTGAAGGCTTTTAGGGCTGTAATTATCAGGAAATCAGAAGACAGACAAAACCTTGCATAACAGTACAAATCAGCACAGCCTTAGGAGGAGACTCATGAGTTTTGTTATTACTTTGGTCTCAGTATGCAGAAAGAGATCTACTATATTGAGACACGTTTGGTTTTCTACAGACAGGATGCACAAAATAAAGCCTCAGCAATAAGAATCTTAATATTAAGTCAGCATTATCTGCTTCACATGCAACCATTAAAAAGAAATAACAGCAAACCTACTGGCAGATATTCCCCCTCTACCTCCCATAATGCAAGTCCCACACTAAGGCCCTGGTGGGTATTTTTCCTTAATACTTTTTCCTCTGCTCCTGTCAGAGCCTGTGAGTGAGTGACAAGGGCTGACTCCAATGTGGAAAAGTGGAATGCCAGGGATATTTTCTAAAAAACCTGATCCTTATTATATCTACCAGAAAGCATATGGGATTGATCTCAGCTGTGGCTGTAGTCACTTGTGAGAAGTGTGACTTGTGATTTGGGCTTGAGATCCTCTGAACCCTGGAAAAGAAATGCTTATTATGCACTATGTGAAGAAATGCAGTTATAGCCACTTTTGGCTTCTGCGGTCTTCACCTCAGGCTTGAATCGAGTAACAGAGCCACTGAAAAGTGACCCATTCCAGTAATTAGCCAGAAACTGTGCAGAACAGCTTTTGAGTGAGGAGGAGAAGAAATGAAGAATGACTTTAGGTGATATGCTTAGAGGGTGTTTTTAAAAGGTGTAGTCTGGTCCATTTTAGCTATTGAAACTGTGTCAGGACTTGGAGCTTTTAGGTGCTTTCTGTAGCCAGCCCGCAGCTTTCAGCCTGATCCCAGGTTCTGGCCAGGACCTGTGTGACCCTCCAGAAACGTGACCATTCCCAGAGAGTGACTGTGGATCCTGCAATAAACCCCGAGGTCGCTTCCTCGCGTTCGTGTCTCGGTCGGCTGGGAGGGTTTGTTTTTTGAAGCGCAGCCCCGAGGCTCTTCCTGGGCGGGAGATGCAGCCCCGCCTGGCCAGGACCTGTGTGACCCTCCAGAAACGTGACCATTCCCAGAGAGTGACTGTGGATCCTGCAATAAACCCCGAGGTCGCTTCCTCGCGTTCGTGTCTCGGTCGGCTGGGAGGGTTTGTTTTTTGAAGCGCAGCCCCGAGGCTCTTCCTGGGCGGGAGATGCAGCCCGCAGTGCTCTTAATCGGACCTCGCAGACTCTTTTCCTGATTGCAGAGGCGGATCTGCCCGTGTCTAAAAGGGACCCTTTGAGGAAACAAGGCAGAAACAGCCCGATCCAAAACTCCCGCTGCAAACAATCAAAACAAGAGCAGGAATCCGAGCTGGGCGGGGTGGAAAGTTTTACAACATCAACCCACTCGTCTTTTCCGTGGGTATTTGCACCAGATCCCGCCCTCGTTCCAAGGGCTATTTAGGGAGCTCCCACCAAAATCAACCCCTGCTCCAGCTGTGCAGCGTCAGCCCTGGATCTGTGCTTTGCTCTGGCTTCTGCCTTCACTACCCGGTAGGTCACCCTCGGCCAACACCCGCGTGGGGCTGCTCAGCCCTGCTGGGACTCAGGTGTGTTTGCACCTGGGTGCATCATTGCAAGGCAGGTCCCTTGTTGTCAGCAGAGCAGGCTGGTGAGAATCGTGGTGCTTTGCAGTGCAGGAGGTAAGTGTGTATTTGAGCCTTTGGCAGGACTGAGCCCTTCTTGTGGCATGGTTTGTGGCATGAAGATGGCATCTTCCTGAGAGGTGCCCAAACCTGCCTTGGGCAGTGAATGCTTTCCTTGGAGGGTTTGGGTAGAGCAGCTGGGGAGCAGGAAGCTGCATGAGTGAGCTCTCTGGGCGTGCTGGGGCTGAGAGACAGAAAGGCTTGCAACTTGCAGCCCTCCTGGCAGCTGTACTGCCCATTTCAAGGCAGAAGGCAGGGATTTCTTTAATGTATTTAAAGTTACTGTGAAAGGGAAGGTTGGGATATGGAATTTGTGGAATGTGACCATTTTTTATGAAGATGCACTGACAATGCAATTCTTACTGTTTCTGTACCCAGTTGCCACCAGATTAATGCAGCACTCTAAGTCAGGTTAGGTCAGGTTTCTGAAGAGTGTTTGCTGGTGTCCTTACTGACTCTTCTTTTTCAGCTCTAACCATGGAGAACCTGTGTGATGCAAACAGCCGATTTGCACTTGATCTGCTTGGGAGATTGAGTGAGGCCAAGCCAGCAGGAAATGTGTTCTTCTCTCCTGTCAGTATCTCTGCTGCCCTGGCCATGGTCCTTTTAGGGGCCAAGGGTGATACAGAGGCCCAGGTGCTGAAGGTCAGTAAAAAAATCCCAAAAAGTCTCTTTTGCTTTATATTTTATGTACATTAAGCATAGATGTGTGTTAAAGGAAGGAGAATGAAAGAAGGGCACTATTGTATGTGTTTGGGACAAGGCTTTGGTTATGCTCACTGAGGTTTTCCTTGGGTACCTTTCTGCAGTTCCCTTCTGCTTCCCTGTTCCAGAGCCCTCCTTCCGTATTTGTTGTGGCCCTTGTTGGGAACTTATTTTCACTTGTTGATTCTTGAAGAAGGAAACTAACTGAAGGAATTGATCAGTCTGGAGTTTCCAGCAGCAGTTTGCACTGAGGCATTTAGACAAAGAACTGTTGCTTTCTAGTAGAAGGTTAAGAATGTTACGCTTAGTATTAATAACAGTGTGTCTTTTTTAAGAAACACGGATAATGAATAGTTTTATGTTTAAAGCATAACACCTATGAATAATACATGATGATGCTACCTAAATATGAGTAGCTTAGGTGCTTGGATACCTTAGAGAGGCTGAGCCCACATACTTAACTCTTACCATAGCCTTAAGTTAAGTAGGATAGTTTTAAAAGTCTTGTTATAAATTGCAAAAATGGTGTTTGTAGATAGAGGATGCCAGTTTCCCCTGAGGACTCCTGCATAGGAGAGACATGGTTGATAGTATTCTTCTCCTTTGTTAGGGAAGTGGAAAAGGGTGTGTGAGACTTCTCATTGCAGTCATCATCATATACCTGCCAATGAATAATTTCACCTTTGTATTCTGCACTTTATGAGGAAATGTTTTACGCTGCTGAGTATTGCTATGCTTATTGAATAAGACAATAAAATGATTT